CGGTAGGCCCAAAATCCGAGCTGTGGGCTGCACAACAGGCCGTCTAAGTGTTGAGAGACCTGCTGATCGCGTCGTCCTGTCTGCGACGTTAAATAATTCCTGAGGAGTTACGGGGGATCTCCTTAAATGCCTCCTGATCAGCAACAGGTCTAGTAGTGACAGCCATAGTGTAGGTCTAGGCTAGAGACCCTAGTTGGCAGGACCCCTGTCAGGATTCTGTGAGTCCTTAGATTGAGTCAGTAGGTCTGTCAATCAGGGGTTAGAGTCTACGTGGTGAGGTTTGGAACCGTTAATCCGGTTGTGCACTGATCACCATGGTTGACACCCGGAGTGGGAAGAGCACTAGCCCCTACACCCAGGAACAGCAAGAGAAGATGGCCGCCTTAGTGAGAGAGAACAAAGAGAGGAAGGAGCTCCTGAAACAGGCGAAGCTAAAGACAATCGCAGAGGAGCAGGCGGCCAAGATGAAGAAACTGGAGGAGGAGATGAAGAGAGTTCAGCAGGAGGAGGAAGAGAGGAGAACGGTTGCCGAAGAGGAAGCAGCAGAAGAAGAAGAAAAAGAGAGAATGCATATTGAAAGCAGAGAGGGGAGTAGTGGCACGAAGAAGGATGAAGACACAGAGATGGAGAAGAAGATTAGCGAGTGGATAGGTAATTTATCGTTGGGGGAGGATGAGGAGGCAGAGTTCTATGTGCCCCAGGATGAGAGGGATACGCTAGCCCAAGAGCTAGCAGCAATGGATGACCCCCTGGAAAGACAAGAAAGAGAGGAGGGGAAAAGTTGGAGTGGAAATTGAGAATGAAGAGGGAGAAGAAGAGAAGGAGGGATGAGGTTAACAGGTTGACCGCAGAGGTGGCGAAGATGAAGGATTGTAGGCAGGAGGTGGAGGCTCAGGCAGACGACTCGGCCAAATGGGATAAGGGGTTGGGGTACCTGGAGGTGTCGAGTGCAGCTTGGATGGAGGAACGCCAAGCCAATAGAGCTCAGGAGGTAGCCCTCAAGGCCATGTGGTCTGGTTTTCGAGATTTTGCGCGCGAGATGGTTACCCACGTTGGAGGGAAAGTCAAGCGATTGAGAGACAACGTGGGGAAGTTCTGTGAGGGTGCCATTGAGGGCGCCAAAGTAGTAGCTGCTGCAGAGGGCGAGGCCAGACCTCGCAAAAAAACAGTCAAACTTAAGTTCCCCGATGCTTATGGTCGGAAATCTGACGAGAACTTCGATAACTGGGAGGCCAGCGTAAACAGTTACGTTGACTTACAACACATCGTACAGGACGATCAGGTCCTGGTTGCCTTCCAGGCCCTCAAGGATGAAGCGGCTAGTTTTGCTAGGTCCCTTGCGCGCGCGGCCGGTTATGAAAACAACATGGTCGCCTATTCCAAGGTAACCCCTCTCCCTCAATTCTTCAAGCTCCTTAGGGAGCGATTCGCTGATCTTCGCAGAGGCGTTAGAGCCTCTGACAAGCTCCAAACCATCCACTCACGGCAGTGGAGGAGTGCCAACGCACTCAAGGCAGTGATGGACGACCTGGTGGCCGTCCCGGACCATGGGGTGACTGAGTCCCAGTTGGTCCAACTATTTTATCGTGCCATGCCATAGCCCCTGCGTGGGCACTTTTTTGACAAATCCCAACAACCCACCATGACGTACGATGCGCTCAGTAGAGAGGTGGTGTTGTTTGAGGCTAAGTCCATGCCAGTTTCCACTTTCTGGCATAAGGACCTAGACAAGGGCAAAAAGTGGAAAGGTCGTACCATCCCAGGCCAAGTAAGGGCCAAGGATCATATGATCCTTACCTTAGAGGAAGGTGGTACAGATGAGGTCCCATATAGTCAGATCGAGTGGGGCCTTGAGGAGGAGGACAGTAGCGTGGGGCAGGGGAGGTCCTATGCTGCTGTCGCGGCTGGAGGGAGGCCACAAGGTAGAGGAGGAGGCCAGGGCCAAAGGGGCCAGGCCGTGGGAGGCCAAGGACCGGGCACACAGGGGG